GGGGGGGGGGAAGAGGAGGAAATCTCGCGAGACTTCGCCAGAGCGCCCTGCCGCTCCGGTACCAAATCTCGCGAGACTTCGACACCCCCAACCGCCATTTAATCCCTAATTAAATGGTTTTTAATTATCTATTAATTGGGGGGGATTATTATTATTATTATTACCTCTTTTTGGTTGTTTTTTTTTTTATTCTAACAAATACAAAAGTGGGGGCGGGGCCGCGGCCTCCGGACACGCCTACAAAACCCGGGGGGGGTGCGGAGGGAGGGGGCAGCCAATGGGAAGCGGCCCCGCCCCCTGTCAATCAACCTGAAGTCACGTGGTGCGGGGAACCAATCAGAGGCGGCTTCTCCAGTCCGAAGCCACGCCCCCTTCTTCCGTCGGGAGGGGGGGGGGCGGGCTTGGCTCCTCCAATCGCCTCGTCTCTTGGCACCGTCCAATGGGAGACAAAGCCCCGCCCCCTCAGCCAATGGGAGGGGCTGCCCGAGGCGGTGGGCGTGGCTCCGCGTAGCTACGCCCCTCCCCGAAGGGAGGAGGAGGGGGCCGCGACCTCCCTTAATAGGATTGAATGGGAGGCAGGGGTGTGGTTTGCGCGTGGTCACGCCCAGAAGTGGGCGTGGTTTGACGAGTGGCCCCGCCCCCCCTCCTCCTCTTAAAGCAACAGCTTCCCATTGCGGTGGATCTTGAGGATGCGGCCCAGGCGCTGCTTGGCGGTTGCCAGCCCCTTTTTGGGGCGTTTTCCTGCAAAAAGAGGCACTTTTGGTTAAAAAACTAATAAAGGGGGAGGAAAATGAAAGTTTTTTGCCCGCCCCCCCTTTTTGCATCCCCCAAATCCCTACTCTAACTCTCTTAAAGGGCCAGGCACCCCCCAAATGCCTACCCTAACCCTCTTAAAGGGACAGCACCCCCTCAATCCCCAACCCCAAGGTCTTAAAGAGACAGGCACGCCCCTCCCCAAGGCTCTTAAAGGGCCAAGCACCCCCTAAATCCCTACTCTAACTCTCTTAAATGGACAGGTACCCCCTCAATCCCCAACCCCAAGGCTCTTAAAGAGACACACCTCCCCAAGGTTCTTAAAGGGACAGGCACCCCCCAAATCCCTACCCTAACCCTCTTAAAGGGACAGGCACCCCCTCAATCCCCAACCCCAAGGCTCTTAAAGGGACAGGCACCTCTCCGGCCTCTTAAAGGGACAGGCACACTCTCAATCCCCAATCCCAAGGCTCTTAAAGGGCCAGGCACCCCCCAAATCCCTACCCTAACCCTTTTAAAGGACCAGGCACCCCCACAAATCCCTACCCTAACACTCTTAAAGGGACAGGCACCCCCCAAATCCCTACCCTAACCCTCTTAAAGGGCCAGGCACCCCCTCAATCCCCAACCCCAAGGCTCTTAAAGGGCCAGGCACCCCCCAAATCCCTACCCTAACCCTTTTAAAGGACCAGGCACCCCCACAAATCCCTACCCTAACACTCTTAAAGGGACAGGCACCCCCCAAATCC